GGAGACAGAGTTTAGGGAAACACACGCATTCATGTGGTCAAGTCATGCTGAATTGAACAATATCGGTGCTTTCATTTTTCTTATCCTGGCGCTCACCGTCCACAAGCGACTTGATACCTGCTCTTCTTGCTTATTTCCCAAGGTAAGGTGGCCACGAGCAGAACTCGAGGAAGTTGTCTCTGTGCCACTAAAAAGCTTGAGACACGATACCATTCATTTTGGGCTTATTTCATAAGTGCCTTGTGGCAGAAGTGGAAACATAGCTTTCTTTCAGAATCGTGAACTGAAGTATTAGCTAATCGTAGACTTCATTGTATTTTACAGGGAAAATTATATTTTTACGGCAGAATTTACGAATTTAAGGACTCATGAAGATCTTTTTTTATGTCCTTTGCTAATGTTAAGCGTCTCCTGGATTTAGAAATTATGTTTATATGTCTGTCTGTCCTGCTCAGCCTGCACTGTCCAGTACTGTAGCAACTAACCACATGTGACCATTGAGCGCTCAATGTGGCTAGTCTCAATTGAGATGGACTGTAAGTGTAAAATACACAACAGATTTCAGACTTGGTACAAAAACACAGAAGCAAAATATATCATTAGTAATTTTTTTTTATTGATTACCTGTTGAAATAATATTTTAGATATATTGGGTTAAATAAAATATATTATTTTAAAAATTTTTACTGTTTCTTTTTACTTTTTAAACATAGCTATTAGATCATTTAAAATTACATGTGTAGCTCATAGTATATTTCTACCAGACAGAGCTGATCTAGACTATAAGTTCCTTGAGGCCAGGGACAGTTCCTGGCACATATTAATTAGATGCTCAATGCATGTTTGATAAATCAAACTGCTAAACTGAAATGAATGAATGGATGAGAATTATAATGATTTTTTGTCTGTGTGTGAGGAAGATCAGCCCTGAGCTAACATCCATGCCAATCTTCCTCTTTTTGCTGAGGAAGGTCGGCCCTGAGCTAACATCTATTGCCAATCCTCCTCCTTTTTTTTTCCCTTTTTCTCCCCAAAACCCCAGTAGATAGTTGTATGTCATAGTTGCACAACCTTCTAGTTGCTGTATGTGGGACACAGCCTCAGCATGGCCCGACAAGCGGTGCGTTGGTGCGCGCCCGGGATCCGAAGCCGGGCCGCCAGTAGCGGGGCATGCACACTTAACTGCTAAGCCACGGGGCCGGCCCTATAATGATTTTTTAAAATAGTGATTTTGACACTGTGAATTTAGAAAATGATAGAGCAAGATGAGATGGATTTTGTCAGGAAATCTTAAAACGTTTATTAATAGTCTCTGGTGTATGGGGCTAGAACATACATTAAAAGAGATGTGAACCATGGCTGCAGCTGCCCTCTCGTGAGACATTCCAATATGCCATGTGGAGTTGACCTGATTTTGCCACCCGTGATTCCTTTACTCTAGTGCCATATAATCCAACAGTTTGTTCAAGAAAGACCCATTTCCAGAAAGGATTTTTCCTATGTGCCATTTACCTGTGGTACTCAGACTTTAATGTGTTTAAGAAGCACTTGCAAAGTCTGTTACAAATGCAGATTCCGAGACCCATTCCCAGAGGTTCTAGTTCAGTAGGTAAGGGATGGGGCCCAGGAATCTGCATGTTAACACTCCAGAAGATTCTAATGCAAGTGGCCTGTAAACAATACCTTCAGGAACACTGGCATATGGCATCATAATCTGGGAATAGCCTGTAAGTCCAGGTAGAAGGGATAATTTGCTCAGTGATTTTTATCTTTATACTACAAAGAACTTAAATTGTTAAATATTTTAATAATCAAAAATTAATCAAAAATTTGCAGCAAAGGAAATAGTGAGAAGGCAACCTAAAAAATGGGAGAAAAGGGGCTGGCCCGGTGGTGTAGCAGTTAAGTTTGCTCACTCTGCTTTGGTGGCCTGGGATTCACTGGTTTGGGTCCCAGGCGTGGACCTACACACCACTCATCAAGCCACGCCATGGCGGCATCCCGCATACAAGATAGAGGAAGATTGGCACAGACGTTAGCTCAGCAACAATATTCCTCAAGCAAAAAGAGGAAGATTGGCAACAGATGTTAGCTCAGGGCCAATCTTCCTCAAAAAAAGAAATGGGAGAAAATATTTGCAAACCATATTTCAGATAAGGGGTTAATACCTAGAATATATAAAGAACTCCTACAATGCAATAACAAACCAAAAAATACCCAATTAAAAAATAGGCAAAGGACTTGAATAGTCATTTCTCTAAAGAAGATAATACAAATGGCCAATAAGTGTATGAAAAGATGCTCAATATTACTAATGATCATGGAAATGCAAATTAAAACTACAGTGAGATACCACCTCACATTCACTAGTATGGCTGCTATGAAAAAAAGAAAAGAAGTGTTGGTGAGGATGAGGAGAAATTGGAACCCTTGAAGCACTGTTGGTGGGATTGTAAAATGGTGCAGGTGCTATGGAGAAAAGTACGGATGTTCCTCAAGAAATCAAAAATAGAACTACGATATGATCTAGCAATTCCACTTCTGAATATATATCCTAAAAAATTAAAAACAGGATCTCAAAGAGATATTTGCACACCCATGTTCATTGCAGCATTGTTCACAATAGCCAAGATGTGGAAGCAACGTAAATGTCCATCAATGGATGGATGGATAAAGAAAATGTGCTATATACATACAATGGAATATTATTCGGCCTTAAAAAAAAGAAAGAAAACCTGTCGTATGTTCAACATAGATGAACCTTGAGGACATTATGCTAAGTGAAATAAGCCAATCACAAAAATACAAATACTGCATGATTCCACTTATGTGAAGTATCTAAGCTAGTCAAACTCGTAGAAACAGAAAGTAAAATGGTGGTCGCCAGGGGCTGGGGGGAGGAGGAAACAGATAGTTGTTCAATGGTATAGAGTTTCAGTTTTGCAAGATGAAAAAGTTCTGGAGATCTATTGTATAATGGTGTACATATAGTTAACAATACTCAACTGTATACTTAAAAATTGTTGAGGATAAATTTTTGTGTTTGCTACTGCAATAAAAAAATTGATCAAAAATTATCAACTATTCTAGTAGTTCATGGTGAAATCAAACTCAAGGAAAGAGTGTAATAGTTTCATTTCCTTGAATAGTATGTTATTCTGAGAAAGTTTGTTGGAAGCTTTGAGCTAAATAAAGTAAATGTGTACCTTCAGTGAAGCTGTGTGGGCGGTGAGAGGAATGGAAGTTCGTGGCCTCTCCGTGATTTACTGCTAGTAGAGGGCAAAGCTTACTCGTCATGAATGTCATTTCCAAAGCAATTTGTCCAAAAACCTGGATGCCCTTGAGATGGAAGATGCTGATTACAGGGATGCTGCCATTTCAGAGGCAACCAGACACTCTAAGAAGATGTCCTCCTTCCGCTCTCCTGTCCCCGTACCTGAAGCCTGGAATTTCAACACCTCAATTTCGTTCCCTTATGACAATTTTTAAAAGCCTGGCAAACTCTAATCATTTTAGGGGTACTGGTTGCCAGGACCCTTTCTGAGGCAGAGGGAGAACAACGGGATTGATTTTGTGGAGGAGCAAGCAGCATTCATATACTGAGCATTCCCTCTGGCAGCCAGCAGTCTGTGTCTGGCCAGAGGCCTGTCGTTTAGGTAGCAAGCTCCCCGTTCTTTCCGGTAACTGGTACGCAAGTGTGGTTGGGTTGGTTGGCTCTGCCCCTGAGGTTGGCTAGCTTCCATGAGTGGGGCAAATGGAGTGAGGGACAAAGGTTTTAAGTTACTCTCATATTTACTAATGAGGTGAAAATACAATGCGAGGCTGGTGAAAACTGAAATAATCACATTTTCATCCTTTGTACCCTTCTTGGTATCTCATTCTAGCTTATCAACTCTTTTCTGTTTGTTTTTTGTTTTTGCAACATGCTGGTTCATATTTTTTAGAAATACTGATTATGAAATATTTATTTTTTGGCCAACTAAGGACTTTATTTCAAACAAAAATAAAAAATAAATTGAGAGCTATTTCCCTAGGTGTAGGGAAGGCATCAGAGCAAGGAATTCCCTGTGGCTAGGTGAGTACACTCATATACTGGAGGGATTGTGATAATTCCCTTCCTCGCCCTGGTGATGGGGAACCTCAACTAGTGCAGGGCCCTATGTCAGAGTGCACCTACCAAGGAGAACTCAGGCTAGGGGTCAGTCCCTGGGAGGTGACAGAGTCCAACAGTAGCATGGCCAAAGGCCAACCACAGGATCAAGTCCTAAGCACCAAGAACCTACTCTTCCCCCCTCCTGGGACCCAAAACAGATAAGAGGAGAAGCCTCAACGAGTCTGAACCCCTACAGCTGGTCCCCCTCACCCCCAACAAACTCTACAGTTACCACATGATCCTTTGTATTTCTTGCCTTCCATTTCCCTTGAGTGCGGTTTCTTGTGCTAATCTACTCTGTATCTTTCCAATTTTAGTGTATGTGCTGCTGAAGTGAGCATGTTTATGAAACATTTCAAATCTGTAAAGAGGCATACAGATGCGTACTCACCACCTAGCTTAAGAAAGAGAACGCTATGAGTACAGGTGAAGTCCATGTATACCCCTCTCAGATAATATCCCCCACCCTGGCTGCAGTGGTAACTGCTGTCTGGAATCTAGTGTTCATCATTCCTAAGCGATTCTTTATACCTTTACTATATGATATTTGTATACTTTAGCAATACATAGCATTGCTTTGCATGTTATGGTCTCATAGTTTATGTAGTCTTCCACAACCTGCTTTTCTCATTCAACCTGCCTGTTTACTTTTTAAACTTCATCTGGGATATTTTTTCCAGGGTTACTTAAAATATTCTCAACACCAGTGTACAGTGTTACTGTGTAATAGTGTTTAGCCCCTAAAATACAACTAAAAATGGCTTAGATTGAGAAATTTTGTGTGTGTCAAATTAACATATAATTGTAATATAGTGTGTAACTGTTAAACATATTTGTTTTGTTTTAGGTTATAATATAACTTATCCTCTCATGCTTTTTCCCTGCTCCTTCTCCCCAAATCATCAACTATAGAAAAAGAAGCAGCCATGTCAGGACACAAATGGTGAGTAATTTGTTATCTTTTCTAAATTGGGAGAGGCTAACGAAAGAGGAAAGCACATAGTATATGCTCAAAAAATGTCTATTGAGTGAAAAAATCAAGAGTCACATTAGCAGTGAATAACTTGGTAGTTCCTGTCCAATATTGAGTATAGTCAAGTTCAAGATCCCTCTAAATGAAATATGGAAACCAAGGAACCAAAAACATTACAAGTTCTTATCTAATGTGTATTCCCCAAGAAATTCATTTACATAAGACTTTTCTCTTGAAAATCTAGTGTTGGCTTTTTTTACCACTGTTTTTTCAAATGTAATGAGTTAATACATTTTTTTATCACTATGTTATTTACAATTTCTAATAATGGAATTTTATGTAAGGCAGCTATAAAATAATGAATGAACACATACTCAGACTCATTAATTTATAGTCAAGGTTTCATGAACATTCAGGAACCGATCATGGTTAGACGTAGATGATGCTGAATAAAATGTCATAATCATATGGCAGTGTTAGCACTGTCATTTATGTGCCTATGACACATCTAAACAGCATGTTAAACCTCTTATAAATTCCAGATCTGCTTCACGCAGTGTTTCTGAACGTTTTTGAACCCATGACCCACCGAGTAAGCCGTTCTTGTCATATTTTACCTCCTTTAATTTGTATCATGAAAAAATGCGGTACATGTTTTCATATTTCAAACGTACAATTAATTTTGATAAGGAATATACTTTTTAACCCCTACTTTCTCAGTAGAGAAAGAATCAGGCCCAAGTCCTCTGTCATATCAAATGTCAAACTTGAAAAGAATTTTCACATGTCTTAAAATGTAATGGGTTTTAAAAGGTAATTAATAAATGGCTAAGGGACTTAGTTTCCCTGTGTATCCCCATTTGACAACCCTCTAAGAGTTGTCAGACTGTTATTTTAATTGTTCCATCTTGGCTCATTAAGACAGGTGGATGGCTGCATCCCGTGACCCTCATAATGGCTGTCATATCCTGGCAGCAGGCCTGGGGAAGTGGGCAGTCACCCACCTCGAAAGACTAGAGAGACCCAAGAAGTCCACCCTTCCCCAAAGTCTTTCTCCCACTTACTCTGCCCCTTTATTGCTGCTGCTAAATTGCAAGGGCTGCCAAGAACATTGCAATGAGCACTGGACTGGGATTTAGAGGCCTGGATTTTAATCCTGTGTGATTTGGGGCAAGATTCATAACCTTTTGAAACCTAAGATACCTCATTTGTTAAATGACGGAGGTGAAGGATGTTCGCTAGATCTCTAAGGTCCCCCCCTTTTATCAAAATGGAAATTTTTTTCTGTTAATCCATGACTTTTGACAAAAAAAAATATATAATACAAAGAAGAAGTCCACCCTATTCCCCACTCTTAAAAATTCCGTTCTCCTAATATAACCACAGTTTTGGAAGGTATATCCTTCCAGTCTTTTACTGCACCTATTATACAGAGAGATTATCTTTTACATAAAAGTTATATATATTTTCATCTTATTTTCTGTGATGTAAGCTCATAATATAATTTTAAATAATGCAGAAACATGAAAGTCCTCCAAATCCTACTTCTCTCTCTAATGATAACCATTGCTAAGGAAGTCATCTGAAACCCTTTCTGACTTTTTAAGAATAGATGTGTCAATTGAAAATTGTAAATGTTATCTAGAAGGAGAGTATAAATCATCAAGTTTTGAGATACAGGTGTTTTGCTATAGTAGTGTAAAGCAACTGGTGTTTTACGACCCAGGTCTGACACATTTTGAGTGGCAATAGGATGGGATGGCAGAAGGTACATGTCTGCAGAGGGGAGAGGCTGGGGGTCCTGTGTGGGCCTTTGGAGCAGAAACTCTAGACAGGAGGAGGGTGTAGACAACATGGTGAGGGATGGAGCACCAACAGCAAACTTTCTATCAATATTTGAGGTATACTGGCCACTTTTACAGAATTCCATTTCGTTCTCAATTCATTTTTTTTCTAATTTCTTCTTTACATACTTTTTGATTTGATCTTCATTATGAAGCCACTCCTGAAGAATGGCTTTCTATCTGTATTTTAATTAAATTTAAAGTTTTAATATCAGAAATCTAACAGATTTTTTTAATTTTTATTTATTTTTTAAAATTTTATTCAACTGTGCTAAGACTAACATGAGATCTACCCTCCTAACAAATTTTTAAGTGTACAATACAGTATTGTTAACTATCAGTGCAATGTTGTACAGCAGAGCTCTAGAATTTGTTCATCTTTCATAATTGAAACTTTATGCCCGTTAAATAGCAATTTCCCATTTCCCCCTCACCCCATCCAGCCCCTGGTAACCACCATTCTACTCTCTGAGTCCGTGAGTTTGACTGTTCTAGGTACCTCTGTGACAGATTGTATGCGTGCTGTTTTTCAGCCCTTATCTCTACTTTTCTGCCATCACTTCAGTGTTGGCCGTGATGCTGGAGTGGAGAGAACACGAGCGTCCAGCTTTATCTCTGACTCACTGGGGTGTGTGAGCCAGTCACCCTGCCTGGCTGGGCCTCCCTTTCTCCACTTCTAAAAGGGATGTGTCCAACCTGTTGATAATCTAAACTCTCTTCAAGGTTTAGTTTCTTGATTTCCTGCAAAAGTCGCTTAATTTCCTCACTAACTTTAAGATTTTGGAGTAAGTTAGAACTGATTAACATTTCTGGTATAATAGCCATATAAGAAAGTATATGTTTATGAATGCTGTTAATGTATAATATAATGTTTAGATAAATGTGTTCACACTAAAATATCTTAAACTTTATAAAAGTCCCTTTAAATGTTTTTAAAATAGCTCTTTAAATGTTTTTTAGCAGTTATCCCTGGGACTTACAGGATCGCTATGCACAAGATAAGTCAGTTGTAAATAAGATGCAGCAGAAGTATTGGGAGACGAAGCAGGCCTTTATTAAAGCCACTGGGAAGAAGGAAGATGAACACGTCGTTGCCTCTGACGCAGACCTGGATGCCAAGCTGGAGGTGAGTGCTGTATTGCTCTCAGTCCCAGCACAGTCACCTTGCTAGGGTCGTGGTCCTGCGGGGTACTCACCTGGCAAGCACAGGTGTGCTTTGTATTTGAAAACATGTTGCAAACACTAGTTCATGAGGAAAAGCTAGGATCAGATAAATTCAATCCCAGCATATTTTTTTAAAACCTGTAAATTCTCGTGTAACTGCCAGTGTGCCTCCATTAATTTGTTTTTCAAGCCCTTAGTTGGAATGCATGGCATGCGGTAAATTTGCAATAAATGTTTGTTGAAAAAAATTAATGCAGTCGAAGAGCCACCACTAGTGATATCAACACTAGACTCAGGCAAATGTTTACATTTTAAAGAATAAAAAAGGATGACAGCAAAAGGTCCTGGAAGGTAGAGTCTGATAAGCTTGGTATTGAGCCCTGGAAAATTCTAGAATGAATTAACTAAGCAGATATTTAGTTAGACTAGTTAATAATAGAGTAAGCTGAATTCATATCTGGTTGATCCTCAAATACTACTATAACTGGTAGAAGGCCCACTAACTCCCTGTCTTGCTGGACATTCTGCTAATAGTTTAGATTAAAATTTAAAAAGCATACTTATCACTTCTCTGAATGACAGGGCACTGAGAGGAATAATGTCACATGACCTGATAAGAATTCAAAATGACCTCTAAATTTAATACATAAGCTAAAGTTAATGGCTGAAGATTTAATGGAACTAAAATAAAAAAGCATAAGATTTCAAAAAGCTTTCCAAGAAGGGTGGCCAGGATGATGGAAACCTCGGTTACACTGGAAGAGAGAGGTTGAAGGGGAGAAATGTTAGTTGTTGGTTATATAGGACGGTCTGTCATGTGAAGAGGGATAATTCATTCTACGCATCTGAGGGTGGAACCAGACCCAGGGCCACTATTCATAGTACTCATCTCTCATGAAATTATCTCAAGTGTTCGTTTGTTTGCCTGCCCTCCCTCCACAAGGAGGTCAAATTCCATGTCAGCCTTATTCACCATTGTTTCCTCAGCCAGACACAGTGCACATTCAGTAAGTATTAATTGCATAAGTGTACATTTTAATGCAATTAAGATAAGTTCCCAACCCTTTCCCCTGTCATTGAAATTGTTCAAACAGAAGCTGGGTTTGACAGGAATGTTCTCACGGAGAAAAGTAGAACGAGGAGGCATCTATTCTGATCTTAGTATTCTAAATTCAGTTGAAATGATTATAAGTTGCATATGCTTTTCACATCTTAGAGCTTTATTTTTTTCTTCTTAACCTAGTAAATAAGAGCATTATTCAAAAAGGAATTTAATGTGTTAATTATTAGTACATTAAACACAATATAGTAATTTTATATTTATATTTAGGCTCTTGCAGCAGCATTTTTACTGAACCAACTGTACTTTAATCAAAATAGCTGCTATCCTAGGCACATAACCTCCAAAATACTGAACTGTGACTAATAATTTTATACGATAGTGGTTTCTGTTGCAGAAATGTTACTAGTGATGTTAATGTTGATAGAGAGAATGGATTCCATGAATATAACATATGTAAATGATGCGCAAACCATTTCGATGCGTTCTTACACTATTATCCATAAAAGGCTAGTTTATAAAACAAAACTTTTATTCTGCTGGCCCAGAAAGCTTGTGTGCCAAGCTATAATAATAGTCAGATTCTATTACAATCTGGTGGGAAGTTAATATACAAATGTTGCACTAAGTTTAAATATTTGTCAAAACTGCGTGTTAATGAAATCACTTTCTCAACAACAGCTCTTAAGTACAAGAACAGACAAAACTAAGCTGTGATGACAGAAGTCTTTCAGTGGGTGCCAGGGCAGAGTAGGCTCACTGGATGGTGGAAATGCTTCTTATCTTATTTTGGGTGTGGTTACAAGAGTGTGTACAATTGTCAAACTCACAGAATGGAACACTCCAGAGGTGTGCATTTTATTGCATTTAATTTATACCTCAGTTTTTAAAAAGTGAACAGTAACCACAAAACAGCTTCTGAACATACTGTTTGAACTTCCTTGCTCCTCTATTCAGAAATTACTACGTGTTGGTGGTTAGTGACCCAGAATACAGATATCAAGCATTTATTAAGGAATAAATTTAGACTACTGATTTTCTGTTTTGTTTTATGGTAAAGGATCTTTTTTTTTCTTTTCTTTTCTAAACAGGTAGAAGATGCAGTGTAATAAAATGAGATTTAATAAAATTTATATTCTTCATGACCAAGTTTTATCATATTAAGCCTTCCTGGGAATGGTTTTAAATCTTTTAAGTATATATGCATGCATCCATTATTATCAGATAATTTGGTCATATTTATTATGAGGCAGATCATCTATTTTGACTCATAGTGAAGTGCTTTCTAATACCAGGACATAATTGCTACATCACCATGGCCAGTAGCCAGGAGAGAGAGGCAAAGCCTTGCTCTGCCTCATTGCATGGCTCTTCAGAGGCAGAATGTTTGTCTCCCGGGTTTTCTGATTGATTCCGTCCCTGGTCTCTGAGTTGGTGGACAGGGGGTGGAGAAAGGGTGAAGTATCTGTTTTATCTTGAGCTGCCTCGGTTTCTGAAGCAAAGACCAGGACCACCATGAGTTAAAATCTAGTTAGATTCTTCTCAGTACAGCCCACCTGCTTTTCCCTTAATTTCCTCTGTTATGGCCATAGCATGGCATTAGGTTACTTCTCTGTATATTTTATGAAATCATTGGGAAAATCAGGAGTAAGAGCTAAACTCATCTTAGCAGATGTCTTCTGAATACACAGTACATTCAGCTGATTGTTTTTTGTTGGCTTTTTATAGAGTTGTTTAAGCATGCCGTAAAATACATTAGGATCACAAAATAAGTTAATGTCGTGTTTTAAATATGATGCTTAATGGACAGATCCTCCATTAAAAAAACAGACATCAAGTGGTGAAAGAAAGAAATTAGATTATGAATGAATATTGGGTCTCTGGTTTACCAAGTCCTCTAATTGGGCCCTTCACTTAGGATTTCTGTTTTTCAACTATTATTTCAAGAGTCTGGAGGAAATCATTGTCCTGTAGATCTTAATTTAGATCTCAGAGATGATGGATACCAATAAGTACAGACTAATAGGAACACATTTAAAGGCTTTGGTCACAGTTTCTGTCCAGGACACCACGTAACACCAAGCACATCTGGCACGTGATCTTGTTTTTAGTGGGCAAATCACACACTGTGGTTATGTTCAATGTAATAATTTTTTATTTCTCTGCTGTCTGTTTTATTTAGCATTTTGTTTGTATTTTTATTATAGCTGTTTCACTCGATTCAGAGAACCTGTTTGGACTTGTCTAAAGCAATTGTACTCTATCAAAAGAGAATATGTTGTAAGTATGCCATAAGTATGAATATTGATCAGATAGTAAGAAATAGGATATTTTGCCTTAGCATATCATTTTATATGTTTAGGAAGTAAGACAAGGAAACTATTTAGGAGTGTCTGTCTTTGCTCTTTATTTGGTGGGGAGGAGGGTCTCTAATAATTTTATCAGAAATCCTTTACATAGGCTGTTTATCTTTCAGTGCAAGTACCGTAAGAGAATTTTGTATTGGGTCTCCCATGGATAACTACATGCCATTTGTTTTCCTAATTATAAAGAAGTTTTCTCAGTTTTATATCTTGGGATTTTTAAATTTGGGGTTGTTTTTATTTGATTATCCTGGCTCTCTTATATCCAGTTTTATTCATTTTAAAATGACTAAATGGAGAGAGAGAGGGCGCATACAGTTAATTCGTTGACTGTATTTTGTTGACAGTGCTTCTTCATGAACATTTTTTATGTTGGATATTGGGTTATTAGGGAACAAGATTTTCCTATGGCCATCCTGTTTAAAATCATTACCAACAAAGTTATCCTTGAAATGCTAAATATTAAGTTGTATGTTAGTATGTTTTTAAGTTTCCATTTGTAGGTGATTTAATAGTACAATATTATATCTGAGACTAAAATATGGGAAGTTTTTCTGTTTCCAACTGCTGCCAAACTCCTTTCCAGTAATCACAAATGAACAACTGGTAATTTTCCTTCATTAGTAATCTATTAGTAAGACTATTTGGGGGAAGTACAAAATCCTGGGACTCAGAGGCAGAATTTTATAAATTATTTATGTTACCATTTACTAAGTGTTTGAGCTAAGACTTCACTGGGGGTGTAACTCTATAGTCTGGAGTTATGAGAAATCAAGACACATGACATAACATCCCCCACCATTTCTCTGTCACACATCCAGCCAGTCTCAAATGCTGGTCCATTTTGTCATCTAGTTAGCTTTCAGATTCTCTTTCCTCTCTCCATCTTCACTGCCACTACCTTAGTTCAGGCTACCGCCATCACTTTCTTACTTGATTTGCTGCATCAGCTTCCTAACTGATGTCCCTGCCTCCACTTTTGCCTCCTGCAGCCCAACTGCAATCACAGAGCAATCAAGGAACTCTCTCAGAGCTCCCAATGGTCAAAGCTGGGACAATTTGAGCAATAAAATAAATAATGATAGTATTGGATTATAACCCATAAAGTAAAATAAATATCCACTTCGTCTGTATGGAAACAAACAAACAGACGAGGGAGAAGAGAACGCTCTTCCTTATAAAATACTTCCAGTTAATAAATACAGAAAGAATGAGGGAATCATAAAATCACCATTAGCAAACAAACACCACAGTAAGAATTGTGGCAGTCAAGATTCACTAAAAGATGTTACAATTAGCGAAAGTTTGAGGAGAAACTGAATATTTGTATAGTCTTATGTATTCCACCCAAGATTTTTAATAATTACAAAAGGAAAAATCATAATTTCACAGTGGACACACCTGAACCGAGTGGTCGAGGTCAACACCACCGGTGATAATGCGTGTTGACATCACAGAGCCCCAATACCATGCACTAAGAAGGGTGCTCCACCTCTGTGGTTACCTTCCCAAAACTCTGTAACCCCAGTCTATTTGTGAGAAATCAGACAAACCCAAACTGAGGGACATTTTACAAAATACCTGACCAGTACTCGTAAAGGGTGTCAAGGTCATGAAAGACAAGAAAGACTGAGGACAGTCTGTGACAGCACAGACTGAAGGAGACTAAGGAGACTTGACAACTCAATGCACTGTGGGTTCCTGGAACAGAAAAAGGACGTAGTGGGAAAACTAGTAAAATTCAAATAAGGTTGTGGTTTAGTTAATAGTTTGGTACCAATGTTAATTTCCTGGTTTTGATAAGTGTTATGTAAGATGCTAACATTAGGGGAAGCTGAACAAGGGTATGCAGAAACTCTGTATTCTATTTGCAATTTTTCTAGAAGCCTAAAATTGTTTCAAAATAAAAAGTTAAAAAAAAATGTACATTGGATCATATTGTTCCTCTGCTGAAAAGCCTTCAATAGCACTTAAAGTAAGAGCCGCACTTCCATACCATGGCTTATAAACTCCTGCATGATCTGGCCCAGCTCACCTCTCCAGCCACTTTTGCCCTTACCCACCATGCTACCTGAGGCCTCTTGTACTCACTGTTTCCTCTATCTGGAATGTCCCTGCCCTAATCATCCAAGAGTGGCCCCTTCTTGTCATTCAGAGCTCAGCTTAATGGTCACCTGCTCAGAGATGCCTTCCCTGACCGCTTAGCCCAGAGCTGCTACTAACCACTATCTCTTGCTCCCCCCTCTTATTGCTCTATCTGGTATTTTTCTTTTTGTGTTTTGAGTTTTTGATTACATATTTTTTATTTTCTATCTCCTGTGCTTGAACATAAGCTCCGTTAGAGCAGGGACGTCGTGTGTCTTGTCCATCTCTGTATTCCCAGTGGCCAGAACAGCACCGAGTACGTATTAGATCATCCATAAATCTGTGCTAAGTGAATTAATGCTGCCAAGCTAATTGTTTTATAGTTTTTTAGTTGCCTTTTTAGGGCACATCTGAAAATCTAATCAGTGATTAAATATGAATAGGTCTTTATTTGTCTCTGAATTCTTAAGTTCCAGTTAAGTGAAACCTTAACTTTTGATACCTGTGTTGCATCTGGATTTTAAACTCCTATAAATTAATTTCAGTATTTGAATCTTAAAATTAAGGAATGACCATCTCTTCTTGGAAAATGACGGTCACCACTGAGTAATGCAGCTTGGAGCCCGATGCAGCTCAGACTTTTTCCACCACCCTCTGAGCAGCACTGCCAATTAGTCAGAGTCCAGCTCTTAAAATGAAACCTGTTTACCACCCTAAGTTTAATCCTCAAGTCCATAAAGTAACCAAAAATGATTTTTCGAGTGCTTCAACTTGAATAAACTAGGTTTATTTAGGAAAGAGTACATTTCACCAACCATGTAATCATTCAGGTACCATGAAGTGGTTTCTTCCTAGCCTTAAGCTAAATATGTTCATTTGTATGTGACTTGAGGCTTCAAGGTAAAAAAAGGTGATAGTAGCCTCATGCTATTATAAATAAAAATGTGAAATTGCTCTCCATAGGGAAGGATTCATTGTGGAATTGAGTGAGTTCCATTTTAGTAAGGAAAAGGAGAAGGAATGGAAGGTATTAAAAAACAACAAGATTGCTTATAATTATAGGAAGTTTTTTAATGCTATGTAGAACCATAGCATAAATATCAAATAAACATTTAAAGTGAAATAAAGTATATGGGGATAAAAAGGCAAAAATTATAGTTAATTCAATTTCACAAGCATTTAATTAGTGCCCTGAATATGACTTTATGCTCAGCCTTGGGAATACATAGTTTGGATGAGGTTCCTGTCCTGAGAAAGCTCAGAGTCTTGTGGGAAAGAGACACACACACCCCCCACCCCGCCCCCGCCACGAACACTGTAATACCAGGTGTGGAGAGGGCCCTGCTGTGAGAGAAATAGGGATCAACTACTTCACAGGGGAAGTTGCCTTTGAGCTGGGCTTTGACCAATGAACTTGGTTTTGAGAGACAGAAGAGGAAGGAGAGTAGTCATTTATCTCAGGAAGAATGATTTCTAAAAGCCTCTTCTCCACTGGAATGTTTAGCATGAACTAGAGTCACAAATTAATAAGGAAGCAGTAGCAGATTCAACCTTCACCTTTGGATTTGTGGTTGCTGGCTAACGTTCTACAGCTGTTGTTGGAGAGGTTGTATCAGGAATGGGGTGCATTCTGAAAGAAGTCTAGATTGTTCACGAAAGTGGACAAGAATCCTGGTAGCATTTAAAAAGCACTTTTAGAGACACTGATGTGTAAATGCATCAATACAGAAATGTGAAATAGGAGTAGTGTTCAAAGTAGGTCCATAGTAAATGCTGTGTTTAGAGAAAAAACGTTCTAGGAAGCTCAGTGTCACTCCTTGCTCAGCTGTTGGTGAATGTGTATTCAGGACCAGTGGCTGCATAACAGCACACTGTTCCATTGTGTGGACGCACTGTATTTGATTAAATCAGTCCCCAGTATAGGGAAAGAGAGAGTTTTGCTATTTTAAATAATGATGCATGATTATCTTTGTATATACATCTTTGTTCCCATTTTACTACTTCCTTAGGATGTACTCCTAACAGAAGTGCAATGTCAAAAGATACATACAGTTCTATGACTTTTTATATTTACTGCCACATCAGTTGATAGAAAGCTCATACCAGTCACTCTCACCAATAGTGCCATCTGAGGTTGTCTTTAAAAATAAGGCCAAATATATAAATATCAAATATATATAAACATCAAATCATTGTGTTGTACACCTGAAACTAATATAATGTTCTAGTCACTTATACCTCACTTGAAAAAAAATGGCCAAGATTAGGCGTAACCAATTCAGATTTGGTTCCAGTTCTGCATTTTAAGAATCCACCAAGTCATCAACCTGATTACCTACCCATCCTTAATCCCCATCCCCACCTCCAACCAAAACCCTATGTCGTGGATAAGGTGTTTGAATTTCTTTACAGTCAAGTAGAATGTGACTCAGAAAGCAGAGATCAAAAAGTCAGCAAGAGAGAGAAATAGGAGGAAACCGGCCCTGTGTTATAGGCATCCACAAAAGATTCCCAGTCGTACTTGACAAACTCAACTTTTTTATTTCAGCTCGAAGCAGCACATTATCGGCTCGCTTTTCAGTACGGAGGTCAGTTTCTGGTTCTGATTACAGGTCACCAAACGCACTGACAGATGTACTCAAGTGAATTTGATCTCTCGTTTTGTAAATGAAAGAACAGCGTGCGAGTTAAATGCGGTGAGGGAGGGCTTACCTTGTAGCCTGCCACTTGGATATAATTTCATCTCGTCTTTGCCTCTGGAAGAGAGAGGACCTTGTGATTTGTCTCTCTCCTTCTCTCTGTAATAAAAACGCTCATTGTTCATGGCTCGTTTTGGTCTTTTCTTCACCAGTCTTGTCTCAAGAAGAAAACGAACTGGGAAAATTTCTCCGATCCCAAGGCTTCCAAGATAAAACCAGAGCAGGAAAAATGATGCAGGCAACAGGAAAGGCCCTCTGCTTTTCTTCCCAGCAAAGGTGTGTGCCCTCCTCACTGGGGCTCTACTTGGGGGATCTGCCAAGAATCTGGGACCCGATCACTCACAAAGGAGGGTTTCCCCATGTTTTTAGAAGGCTCTTGCCTGAGACTGAGGAGGTGCTCTGTTCTCAGTGGTTAGTCTGTTTGTAGTGAACTCTCTAATTAAGATAACGTGTGATTTTTTTTACTCCCTGTTAATTAAAAAAATTTTTTTTCATATTTCTTCTGGTCTGTAGGGGGCATTTTATATGTCAATCACTGTTAGTGCTGTCCTAGGCTTATATTTGAGCTTCAGCGTTGCTCATAGTCTGGTCCCCCTCCAGCAGCTGATTAAAGCAGAGTTAAAGCTGATTCAAGCAGGAGGGGACCAACCGTGTCAGTTTTTCAGTGGTCCCCCTCCTGGGCATTTTGGTTCTTCCTAATGAGGTTTGGACCCAGACTTGGTGGGCAATGTGAACTTTCAGAGTGGAATGAAACCCTGTCCAATAGTTCTCTACCACAGTTTTCCAAGAAAAGTGTTTCTTCTATCTTGAATTGTATCTTTTATTTATAACTGTTTCTCCTTGTAAAAATACATACAACTCATTCTCAACAAATTTAAAAACAGAGACAAACCAAAAGGAGAGAATTAAAAAACTATTAAAAGTTTACTAATAGAGATGACCCACTCTGAACCCTTTGATACTTGCTATGCATACGTACTTTCCCTAGCCTTGCAAGGATCATTGGTTCTTGATAAATCTTTTATAAGTTCTCATATGTTAAACATATAATTATCACTAATTTCAGTGGGAAAAGATTCTTATACATGCCTGTATGCCAAAATTAGCATCCATTTTTGGGAAACAAAGCCAAATCCCTGGACACAGTCACTACAAGAGTTACCGTTACCAATCACATAATTATTTTGTAATATGGCTATTCATTCATACCCCTTCATAGTTGTGTACCAAATTATTTCACAAAGCATATGATACCTTAAGGTTGTATAATCTAACCTTTGGATACAGACAAAAACAGTAAAATAAATCAACCCAAACAATGCAAATGATATTTGAAAGTATCACTACTATAAACCAGCAAACTGCCCTATAGCCATCATTTAATGCAGCTTGGACAACTTTGCAATTTGGAAGATGGCCTCCTGCAAGATGGCTCTGGTTTCATGGCCCTCAGTGGCTCACCAGGCACACGAAATCCAAACCGGTCCTCCTAGACGTGGAGAAAGTAGCAGGAGGACATAAAACTCACACGAGGTTGAATTCTCAAACCTTTAATGGACGTGATGTGGGATATGCCAGAATATATTTTTACTGTAAAACAGCATCATACCATACAATTTTTGTATAGTATTGCATAGTGATTATTTCACAAATTGATTTTTTTGATCAAATAACCCTAACACATGTCCATATGTACATTTTTAAAAACATAAAATTTTTTTTGTTTTTCCATACATATTATTCAGTTATCTGGGCATGCCATGATACATTAACCCAGCCCTCTGTCCAGTACTTGGGTCACTTCCACCTGTTCCTACTAAGGGATAAATGCCTTTGGAGTAGACTTTTAGGCACTTGATTAACTATTCCCATTGGGTAGATTTTCATGAATGAAAACGGGGGCCAGTCTTTCACTGACGCTTGATGTGTCTGGTTATTGAATTTTTCCTTGTTCTGGACTCAGTCCCTGGTAGCACAAGTAAACAGGTTTTCACCTTTATGATTTTATATGAAGCAAGTTACAGAAAAAAAAATGAAGTGATTTTATATGCCTTTTTCTTTTTTTCAAGATCTTGACATCTATCATCATGTCATTAAATCTTCAAAGGTTTCTGTCCAACTTCACAACAAAGAAATGGAGAATATTTTATTCACAAGACTCTTTTTCAGCCAGTTTAGGAAAATTGGCAAAATCCAAGGGAAGAGAAAAAGGAGTCCAGAGATAAACAGGGTTCTTAGGGGGACAGCCGAGGACTCTCTCTCTCTTTAAATAGAAGTCTTCGATTTTATAAAACCTTCACACTAGCATTTGTTTTACTGACTTACTTGGTAGTCATTGCTACAACTGCTCATTCAATTTGATGAAAAGTGAGTATTAAATTTAAACCAATGGTGATAAAACACAAGCTTACTTTATGGCACAACAATATGTCTTTGAAAACAACCTGCAACGCCTAGGTAGGATTATGTGAGCAAGCTATTTTTAGAGAAGTGCTGAATATTTAAAAACAATGCTTTACGGACAAGAGGAAAACTAGAGAGAGTAGTGAAAGGGATTTTGTTTCTTAAGCAGTCGATTGCCCCATCTCTAATCTTATAGTGTTATACACATGTGAGGCATTGCAGGCATTGATGGGACTGAGAGCTGACTTCAGCCACCAGCACCACTGTTCCCTCCAGCTCAGTCAGATTGCATTTAAATTGAAATGTAAATACTCATCTTACTTTTATTCTTTGAACCTATGCTTTGCAACTTCATGGAGACAACTGTATTTTAAGAGTGTAATTTATCTGACATGACTCATTTTGGGGAGGAAGATGGAAGAAGCAGTATTTTTTGCCCCTCCCCACATAAATATTTTATTCCAAGTTTGATATGCCTCAAACATTTTTCTGCTGCATAAATGATGATATATTATGGCCAATATTATAATTATTTTACACACACTTCATTATATAATGTATATCCATTTCTGGTGTAATATCCTTAAGTTTTGTTTTTTTATGAGTGTCAAATCACATAACCTCTCTGGAAGTGCATAACACAGTAGGCCCTCAGTAAATGTACTTCTCCCCCTTCCTAGACCATTTAAAGATGTTTCTATTCGTGCTTTATTCTCTGTGACTGTTCAAGCAAGCAGCAGATGCCCTGACATTTGGAGAGTCATCCAAAATGGCCTCGCCAGGGAGACCCTCATCATACACACATTCATCCCTCCTCAAAGACCAGGCTTCAGAGGTGTACAAGGCAGAGAGTGGCCAAGAGTAGGCATGGGAAATGGTTATGCCTTGACCTTCCTCCTCTAACGCTGGATTGGTTTTAGCTTCAAATGAGCAGTCTTTGCCCAGGCAGGAGACCACCCCCAAGAATACTGATAGAGATACTTCCCGATGGTACAGTCAGGTAACAGTAATCTAAGGGCAGTCATCTCTGGTTGACTCATCAGTTCACATACATTTCAATTATAATTCATCAACTATTTCCGCAGCATTGTCTGTATTCCACACACTGTTCTAGGCTCATGCGTTTACAGATTGGTAAACTGTCAAGGATTCAAATTGCTGGCCTGCTTAGTTTCAAGATTGTGGCTTTATCCTCTTGTCTAGGTTGGCTCTGCGAAATCCTTTGTGTCGCTTTCACCAAGAAGTGGAGACATTTCGGCATCGGGCCATCTCGGACACGTGGCTGACGGTGAACCGCATGGAGCAATGCAGGACTGAATACAGAGGAGCATTACTCTGGATGAAGGACGTGTCACAGGAGCTTGATCCAGACCTCTACAAGCAAATGGAGAAGTTCAGGAAGGTAGGAGGTTGTGTGAGGGTTACCAAAAGGGGTACCTACTGGAAGGTAATGAGATGTGATTTGAATCCCTCTAGTGAAGAAGACATAACTCAAAAGCACCCAGGATGCAATTAATCATCACTGGTGTCTTTTTATGTGACAGAATACCAATTAATGTGATATATAATTCTCTAAGGATAAGACAGAAGAGACAGCTGGAAACTGCTGGGATTTAGTAACTGGTTCTAATTGAAGTCAAATTTTCATATAATGTGCACTTTTTATAAGGTTGTCACTTGTAAATGCTTTTTCATGCATAACTAAAAATCAAGATTAGATCAAATGAAACTGGAAGGTGAGAACAGACTTTTGGGGAAATCTTTTTTAATTGCTAATGAATATTAAAATTAATAGAATAATAATGCTCCTTTGTTTTGTGAAGTAGTTCAGAAGCAGTGGTATTTAGTTGTAAGGATCAAATAATGTGGCATTGACTCCATCTGCAGTACACCTCTTCAGAAATTTGTCTGAGGAAAATAGCTGAGGAGTTGAGTATGCTCTTAAATTTCCATGAAATAACTGGTGAGCAGCAGAGGAACAATGTTCCATTGGTTTTTTATTTATCTTGTGTCAATTCAGCTGTCTGGAGATTTTGTCATACAAGGGTACATCTCGCCACTAGGTGGCAGTCATTCACTGAGTATTTATGAAATGCAGCAAGATTTTTGCTGTATACAATCTTGGTAGTTCTTTGTTTGGTTGACTTGGATGTATTTCAGGGTGTGAAAGAAAAAAAAATCAAGCAATGTTAGGTTTGACATAATATTGTGTCAACTGTCTTGCTCATTTCAAATGATCCATTTATAATTAGTGATATTGCTTGAAATCCCAGGATTTCTTTGTAAGTACATCATTGCAGAGCTGTGAATGGGAAGCTGTGAATGGTGTACAAGAGGTTAGATGTGTGGGGTGTGTGGGATGGACGTAAGGAGGGACCTTCTGTTGCTTGACCTAGGTATTAGATTGATAGAAATTCTTTTAAAAGTCCCTCCCTATGAAGGTCCATTTTATTTCTGATGATAGATGTCCTTAATGTGTTAGCAACATCTAAGTTCTCAGTAAGGCCAGTTTCTGAGATAATGGAAAATCAGAAGTAAAAAGTCCCTTAAAGACGATTGAGTGAAATTCACTCCTTCTATAACATCAAGACCTCAAACTAGTGAATAAAACTTTTCAAGGGTTGATAGCTAGGTGTTGGTGAGCCCAGGCTGCATTTGAAGTTACCTGACTTTCTAATCAGGCCAGTAATTTGGTTTGTCTTTGGCACTTTTTTGGGGGGTTGGAGGAAGATGGAGTGGAGAGGTTAAAAAAGAAAAAGAAAAAAAAGAAAAATCAACATTATTTGCAGAGCATAGTGCCAGTCACTTTATATCTACTACCTTCTTTAACCCTTACAATAACCAAGACATAGATTTTATGTTATAGATGAAGCAAATGATACATACCTATGTTAAGTAAGTAGCCCAAAGTCAGACGGGGCAATGAAAATCAGAATCCTAGAAAATATGCATAATTTTTTTCCCCAAGAGAAAAAAAGAAACTTGAAGAACATACCTAAAATTGAGAAAGGCATTTTCATAGTGATACCTCTCCTGTGGTTTATTCATTCAACAAACATTTATTGAGCACCTTCTCTGTGCCAGGTAATAAAAGAATACATATGATTATTCTGGAAGGCAGGAAAATTTCACGTGGAATTGTGTTTACTTAGTTTTGTTTTGGAGGGTGGTTACTATGTAAGGATGAAATGAAAACCAAGCCCTTCGTCATTTGGGTTGAATGTTGAAACATTACCCACTCTTCAGTGTCATCAATCTGTTGATTTTGGGAACTATGTTTTAAAAAAATCCTTTGCCTTGGAAAAGTAGCCGAAGCAGTGCCTTACTTCACAATCCCATGAGTGCTGGATTTAAGAACGTGGTGTACTTAGAATTTAGGGAACAGATTTTTTTTTTTTTAAGAAGTCTGTATTCAAGTGTATATTTGATAAGGTGGGACTCTTCATGAGGACAGAGACTGGATTGGTTCTCTTCACTGCCATTAACCTCAGGGCCAGCCCAGCACCTGGCCCCACGTTAGTACTCATATCAGATGTCCGGATTCCAGCCGTTGAGTATGAAGTACCAGACCCATGTTTTCTCAAACCTCTAGGGCATTCCCACCACATGCAACTGATCTTATGATGTTTTGAAAATTGACATGTGGTTTTGCAGGTAAGAAGTAGCATTATTAATTTGTGGCTGCTGCCCTCTTTGGAATGAATTTAAATTGTGGAGTTTGCTGTTCACTTGGAGTTTTAACGTGAAATTTAACTTTCAGCGAGCTTTAGTGTTTTGCCCCAGTGGGATTCCATTTAAACAGAGTCTCCATTTACCTCTCAGAAACGTGTTCCGGAAATGCATTTCTGAGTCCTCTGGGATGGCAGTGCAGCTGCGGGGGGGTCCTTAGGAGTCACTGTGGGAGGGGGAATTTCAGTCTCCTCAGAGCCAGCTGCCGCCTTCACATTTCAACTGATGAATCCTGAACTCAAGTAGTGTTTTGCTGTAAATTCTGTTCTTTGAGTTCACACTTCCTAAGGAGACAGAATTCTAATTCATACCTCACAAACGTGATCCCCCTGGTTGCGATCTTTATTGAGCATTCATTCATTTATTCATCCATCCAACAAATAATATTGAAGCCCCACTGCATGCTAGGCCACGTGCAGAAGGATGTAGTAGTGAATAAGCAGACTTGATCGCTGCCCTCCTGTCTTGTGTAATCCCTTGGGGAGAGAGCAGGTAAACACAATGCGGTGATGCATCATTGTCTGTGGTAGCACATGGTGCCCCAGGAACACCTAGGAGGGGCTTCCTGGAGGAAGTGGCATCTAAATAAGACGTGAAGGGTGAGTGAGAAGAAGCTAGGTGGAGGGAATAGGGACAGCAGAGCAGAGTTCCAGGCTGAGGAAGCAACTTAGACAAAGGCCTTTAGGTGGAAGAAAACAGGGCACTTTTAAGGACCTGAAAGGTCCTTACAAGCAGAGCACAGAAGTTCAGGTGGGTGTGGAGACAGGGGTGCCAGGTCTGGAGAGGTAAGCAGTGCCACACCAGAAAGGTCATTTCCCCAAGGGCTGGGGGAATGGAAGGGTGTTGAGAAGGGGAGGAGCATGATTGAAGTTGAGTTCCCACAGCTCACTCGGATTTTAATGTGGAGAAGGGATTGGAAGGACCCACGCATTGAGGCTGGGAGAGCTGCTAGGAGGCCCTTGTAGGAACCCTGGGTGCCCGTGGAGTGAAGAGGGAAGCAGATCAGAGAGAAACATACTGTTCTGACCTCTACCAGACTCCGTAAGAGCCCCACTTTAATTACGGAGCTCTTCATTCTATTTAGAAAAGAGCAGAATAAGTATAAATAAATAGCAAGATCAAATGTACTTTCACCTCCAACCAAGGCTTTTTTCATAGTGTTTTCAAAATGCTAGGAAACTTTTTTAATAACAGCCAGTGAGCATGACCAAAGTGATGAATGAAAAACTTAAAATTAAACAAAGCAAATAATCTGTTTTCCTTCTGGCACCCTTTGAAGCACAGAGTCTGATGACAGAGCTCTCAGCGGCAACATTAGTAAGCGTTTATTAAGTGCCCGTATTTGGGGGTGGAAATACAAAGAGGTGGAAAAGCTTGATCCCAGCCCTCAAAAAGGACCCTGCTAGTCATCTGTTCCTTGTCAAAATTACCGCGCTAAGCAAGACACTTGGAGAGTGTGGCCATGTGTAGCTGTTCTCCTGAAGACCCAGTAATAGGAAGCAGTGGGTGAATTTAAATAGGCAGGGCTGGGGGGCTGTGTGCAGTTGGAAGCCCCTCCTGACCGTGTGATTCACCCCGGAGGGAAATGGACGGGAGACTACGCCACAGGGTATTTTACGAGCAGTTACAACATGTGATATATGTGCCCTTTGAAGGCAGAGTAAAAGGGTGTAATTTAAAAATAGAAGTCAGCTTCTTGTAGCAGATTACATCAGCTTAAGTTGTGAGCTCACAGAAGAGCTTCTGCAGCCCGATGCCCTTGAGAGAGTCCTCCTGTGGTCAATTAAGTGTCTTGTTTTTCTTGAAAGTCAGAAATGGGATGGAGGGTAATTATTCTAAATGGAATAAAAGCTGTGTTAGGTGTAAGAAAATAGTTCTGAATCCTCTAAAGAGATAATATGGAAATGTATACGTGGGCATTTGTGTGAGTGGGAGTCCTTATAGACAAGGACGGGGAACCAGCGTTTTAATGAGGGCCAGTTATTATGTGGCTTAATGAAATCCTACAGCATTTGTCTAGTGTTTCATCACCATAATTCAAAAGGGTATCTAAAAGGTATGGTAGGAAATGTGAAGGATACACACTGGTATTCTTGGGCTTATATCTATTTAAAATAGTGTTAGGTTTTAGAGAGCTGTTAATTCACTAAAGTCGTATTATCAACTATATGTTACTGTGAGAAGATTTATTAACAAGTGGTGGTAGCTTAATAGCTGGGACCTTATTAGGGTCATCAGTCAGTGGTGTTCCTGTGTCCCAACGAAGATTTGGGTCTATAGAGCTTGGTCAAAGACTAGTAAACAGTATTGACATTAGAGGTTCTTTTCCTGTGGACAAAGACTTGGGTTAATTAATTTGACAGTATCATTAATTACTGCTGAGATCATTGGTCTTTGTCAGAGGTTGGGCTCTTTTAGCAACTGAGGGCAGGTCCCGTGGGAGCTGGAGACGCCAAGTAACATAGGAGCATCACCACTCAGCCGTCTCCCTGTCCTGCAATAAAGGCCTTTCGTTTTTGCCTGGACCATCCAGCTTTCTGGCTTAAACCAGTGTTCTGCTTTGGTTCAGTGCCAAGGGCGGGACTGAGACCTCCCCCAGTGAGTTGTGTGAAGTGAATGTGGAACATTTCAGATTTGGGCCCATACAACAGACCAACACTGTCTGTCAGTTTA